AAAAAAAAAAAAGTTTATTAACAAGGAGGAGAATGGGATCTTTAATCTTTGTTACTAAGTAGAACACAAAATAGTTTAGTGAGTGGACTGTCGCTCAAATTGCAAGACCCGTGCCTGGAAAAATTCAAATTATATAAAGTGCGTAGACATGTCCTGTGTGTACATCAGTTCATTAGCATTCGATCTTCAACAGTGGAATATACCGTTCTTTTAAAGGAGAGACTGACTTTCTCTTTGGTTCCCATACTTACCAGATGTACTACTGCCCCGGTCCGAGCTGTTGTAGGATCCTCCTGTATTCTGGTCGTATGATTGGTTGTATGGGATAGTTGGAGGAATTGTGTCATTTGCTCGATAATCTAGACATTTCAGATGGAAAAAAACTTTTATTTTCTCTTTGATGCCTTAATCATTTACCAGCAATTAGGCTTTTAAGTTACCATGCTGATCACTTGCTAATTGTATAGAAGTATAAAGGAGGAAAAGTCAAGAAAAGATAGGCATGTCTCTTTAAGATTTATAAAATCCAAATTCTTTGCATCATCTCCTTTATATAAATCAGACTAAACATAGCTATGTACGAATCATATAAGGAACTATTTCTTCTCTGTAAAATATTTATAAATCAGCTAAGGCAGAAATCGGAATTGCTTGACTTCTTAACTTGAAAAATATAACAACGAAATAATTTTAACCATAAGAAATCAGGAAAATATCATGTCTGCAAATCATTTTAAAAAATTAAAATAAAAAGCCCTGAAACTTGTCAGCAAGATGGTATCTAATAAAAAATATATCCATGATAAGAAAACAAAGGATCTCAATCTGCCATGGAAGGCTTCTGCTTACTTAGGCAAAGGTAAAAATCTAAGTGATAAACTTGCCACTGGAATGTACTGGGTAATAACCCATTAGTTTAGTTGCATTCCAGGTCTTTATTACAGTTGGCATACCAAGTCTGGTACAAGCAATAAAAACAATAAATAAGAGCCCTGAAATATTTGTTCAGAGGCTTGTCAAACTTTCCAACGTCCACAGTAAAGCCATATACTAAAGAGGAATGATGTAACAACAGTTGGAATGCCCACTGCAAACTACAGGATTGCAGAAACTGTCCTCTCTTCATCGTGGTCATCCTTTGTCATGAGCTTGTGCAAAAGTCTTAACAAATATTTACTGAACTGCATTTTATGCCAATCAAGTGTTTTCTCAAACTTCGAAAAAGGCTGGATGACTGTATTGTTAAATCAAAATACATAACATTAACTTAATCAAATGGGACGCTTGTCATCTCCAACTGTAATACATTTTATTTTTGAGGAAAATGGTCACAACTCAAGCCTAAAGAAAATAAATCTAGGTCTCTAATTATCTACAATAAGATGTGTCATTTACCTGGACACTTGTGCAAAATTGCCCTGAACTATTCATATTAGAGGATGCTTTTCTTTTCTTTTTTTCCCCCCCTAGAGGTACAACTTTGCAAATCATGTTATTAAAGCGGTAGCCTAAAGGACTATAAAGAAATCAAATACTTACCTCTTCCAACTCACACATAGTATAATAGAGAAACATTCCCCTCAGGCTATAAAATACTATTCCACTGCTACCATTTAACAATTTACTTTAGATTCTATCCTGACAGACTTCAATCAAGTCAACCAAAAAATTTAGGTTCTAAAATCATTGCAGCAGTCTTAGGGACACACGAGGTAGGAGAAATACAACAAATTGAACCACTTCTCCAGTTCAAGCTTAATTTAATTATTTTTCTTCAGTTTGATATAAAAATGCCATTCATTTATATGACCATGTAGAAGCAATTATCTTCTAATCTCGAGTGGAAAGAATGGGATAGTCTATTTATTTAAAATGTGAGGTATTGTGACAGTTGTACATCTGCCTTATGAATAAAAGATTTTGCTAAGCAATCCCTCACCTACGATTAAATTTAAATTAATCTCAAAACCATTTGAAAATAGTTATATATTATTATAAAATCAATTTTCCAAGGTTATTGTTGTGCTAATTAACTCTTTGACACTGGAAATTTCAAAAACAAAGAAATAAGGAAACATGAGGAACAAAAGAACGATTTCATTTGCTCATCCCAGAGAAGTCTGGACGTGGAGTGCTGAAAGGTTAATGGTACTGAGACAGAAAAGGCTGGGAATAAAGGCAAAGCTCTTCACCTTTGTTCAGTTTGTTTTGCTCCATGATGTTATACTGAATGGGGGCCACTTCCTGTTTCTGCTGTGCAGGCGGTTTCCAGTGCTTCTCGCTGGAGTCCCCACTGCCATTGTTCATGTTGTTGCTGAGGTTTGACTGGATGAGCTGGGTGGTGGCGTAAGGAGTGGGCTGCCCTGATGGATTGACAAAACGCCCATCCTTCAGATTTGGGCTATTGAAGGTTTTCATCTCATTGATTTTGTTACTAAGGTCCACATCACCATAAACAGTTGACTCAGGGAGCATCAGATTTGTTTGTTTGTTATCCAGTTGGTTGTTATAATTGGCTATACAATCAGCTACGTGCAACGGAGAGGAAAAGGAAAAAGTCATTCTGCATGGTTATTCGTTTTAAATTTCTCTGTAAGTAGCTTCGTGAGTCACAATAAAATTGTTATGTAAAGTAAAAAGGGGCTTAAATGCGATCAGTAAAAAGGGCTAGGTATTCATAGGTACTCTCTAAAGAAGGTAATTCAAAATTGAGGAAATGAGAGAGGACATAGAGAAATATATAGAGACTAATTTTGAATTTGAATTTAAGATGATTTTCCTTTAACAACCCTATTAATAGGAATTTCACTTAAATAATATACACATGAGTATCTTTATGTGCCAAATTTATATGTTCTAATCTGGAGTTACTGTCCTATCTGAAGCTACTAGTTAGTTGTTGAAGCAACAGAACAAAGCATGTATGTTGAGAATCCAAACCAAAGGGGTGGGGGGGAACTCTGCCTACACATCAAAGAACTTGAGATTTTAGTATTTTTTAAAGTAACTCTACTCAAAAGATATGAGGAACAGAGGTAGAGGGATAGTAAATAGTGTTTAAGATAATTTTATTGGATCTTCCCTTGGTTATGTAGGATAATCATTATCAGGGAAGGACATTATATAATCATTTTTTCATGGTTTCATAAAGACACCCCAAGAAGTATAAAATGACAATAATGATGATAAAATGAATCATAAGTAACCTGTGTAATTTAATCAAAGAAAGCCTGAAATAATATCTAATTTGCCTATTTCAATTTCCCTCTAATTTGCTCCTCATTGAAGTATTAGGGAATGAAATAACTGATAGAATATTTAAAATTAAATAAATAGAAATATTTAAAGCCTGCAGCTGAAAATATTAAAACAGCAGGAAGAACTAAAATCATAATTTAAAGTGAAAATATTTTTTAAATAAAAAAATTTGTCAAGTTACAATGGTTAAAAATACCATTATTTTATTCATGTAGTTCATAATAGTAGTAGTTCAGCTCACCTTGAAGATTGGTTTTCAGCTGGATATGTTGATGAAAAATTAGCTGAAGATGTAAATGTGAATATAATCTTAAGAGAAATATGCAACTTCTCTGTAATACTGAATTCAACTACTCTGCATTTTAAAAAATAAATGATCGGGGAACAGGAATATTTGACTCACCTGGCCTTTAGTAATTCTAACTTCTAGGTATAATATTTTGTTTAATAGTGGTTAAGAAATATTGTTAAAGGCTATATGGTTTTGCCAATTTCATTTTTCTTCACCAATCTTTCTAAACGAGTGTGATTCCATAGAATTTTCTGAGATGATAGATATGTCCTATTCAGCATTGTATAATTCGGGAGCCAACAGACACATGGGGCTACTGCACACTTGAAATGTGTCTAGGGCAAATGAGGAACTGAATTTTAAATTGTATTTTGTTTCATTTAACTGTAAATAGCCACCTGTAGCCAGAGGCTACCATATTGGACAAAACAGCTCTACATATTAATCTAAATGGTTATTGTCATCTTTTGTCTCCTGCAGGGCTCAACCAGTCTCTCTCTCTTTTTTCTTTTTTTTTTTTTGTAATCATGTGAGCACCTAACTATGCAACTAGAATATGGACTTCTGGAGAACAGGGACGTAGTTACATGGATATGTCATATCCATATCCAATGGAAGACTCTGGACTTGTTTTAAGGCTAGACATACAGACTGCTACATGATTTGTTTTTTTATGGTGGATAACCTCTTCACTTAAAATGCTATCTTCTATTTCCCTTTTTCTTAGTTCCATGAGTCATTTTACGTCTCTACTCATATCGTTTGATTCTTTATGATTCTTTTAATATTTCCCAATTGGGAATGTTGAAGGTTTTCATTTTGTTTTTTGTTGTTTGTTTTTGCAAGAAATCATGAGTAATTTTCTGTTTTTTCCTCTCAATATTGCATACTCTACATCCATAATTTCATGTCATGCTTTAGCATGACACCATCATGAAGTAGTTCACTCACACATATTTCTGAACCAAAACCACACAATATAAAATAAAGGCATGCATAAACACCTGCAAAAGATATAGATAGATAGATAGATAGATAGATAGATAGATAGATATAGATATAGATATATATATCTTACATCTTTGGGATTTACTTTTATATAATAAAAATCTGATTTGAAATAAAACAAGACAAAACCAGAGAGGGAGACAGACCATAAGAGACTCTTAATCTCAGGAAACAAACTGAGGGTTGCTGGAGTGGAGGGGGGTGGGAGGGATGGGGTGGCTGGGGGATGGACACTGGGGAGGGTATGTGCTATGGTGAACCCTGTGAATTGTGCAAGACTGATGAATCACAGACCTGTATGCATGAAACAAATAATATATGTTAATAAAAAAAATCTGATTTGGAATTTCAGTTAATTTTCATTTATAATTTTTTATTACTGTTGTACAGTTGCTATTATTTTCATTACCGCTATTAAAGAATTTGGTTCACTCTAACTAGAGACTTATAAATTTTTTGATCTGTTTTATTCCCCATATCCTGAAAATATTTAATTACAAACATAAATTATAAATACATTCATCCTCATAGAGAGGAATGTTTTTGTACAAGTTCTTTTTTCCTTGCTATCTATCCTAGAGTTCATACTCTCCCTTCTCCCATTGCATCCTGGGAAACTCTGGTGGAAGGTGAAGCGTGGAGGTAGAGGGATGAAGAAAATATAGAATCAGGGTAATCTGCTAGGCAATCGTCAACATTTTATGAAAATGTTGACCAAATTTTCCTTTCCAGTGTAGGGAGAGGGGAAGAAATGTATCCTCCTGTGGCCAGTCCTTGTGCTTAGGCTCATGGAGCTGTGTCTGCATCTCTAACCTGGGCGACTGTAGGTGGTCAGGTTGCCATCACTGTTTCCATTGCCTGCCGTGCAGCAATTGATGGAGCAGTCATTGTGATTGTTGCCAGTATTGGGCCACGTGTCTGCCAGCCATGGCTGCGTGGCAGGTTCGCTGATGTTCAGAAGTCCTGGCCTAAAGGAAAAAAAAAAAAAAAAATATATATATATATGCACATGTTTTATAAGTAGCAAATGAGATTTCCCATTCAGACGTCCAACACATTCTTCATCACTGTTCTCACAAATGCCTTGGTCAGCTCTGCTGAATGATATTATTATTGCTTTTATTTTACAATTATTTTTTTGACAAGATAACTGTAACGTAATCTAATGTCTTGAGAACTTCTCTCCGTGTATAGGGCCATAACTTTGTAAGCGGGCACAGTTGTGCGTCAGACTTAAAACACTGTACTGTTTGCAATGCTTTACTTTAGCCCCAGTGATTAAAACTCAGACATGGAATCTAAACATATGGATTCCTATATTTTTTAGTGTTTTAGTTGCTGACAGAATACCATAGTGGAGACAGTTTGCATCCCTTTGTTTTTGACCCATTAAAAAAGTGATGATTCTTCTTACAACATCATTAAAAAATGGAACAAGCTCCTTTATTCAGATCCTTCATAGTAAGCATATTTGCATACTTTTCTTCAAAACCATGTTTCAGAAATAGTGAGTTTGGGGCTCTGTGACATTCTGCAGAGAGCCTTATCAGTGTTTCCGTGCACAGCTCTGGAAGCTTGTCAGGACTTTCTGATGGTGACAATGTAAACTGCCATAAATCCCTACATAAACAAAGGAAAGCTACTGAATTAAATCTGGCAGAAAGGAAAGTGTCCACTATAAGAAATATCAGTGTTCCTGTCTTTTTTGGCATAACACGTTAATGGCTCTTTCACTGTGCATTGGGAATGCAAAGCACATCAATGGCTATTAGAGGGCACCCTGAACGGCTAGTGCCAGAGATGCAGACTAGAGTCCAAGCGCAGCATTCCTCGTGTCCTTCTCCAACATGGACTCCATTTGATAATTTAGTAAAAGAGGTGATAATGCATGGTGTGCTGTAAGATCCACAATAAACAGGCTGGTGCTGCAGATTCTGCAAAGATTTTCTTCACAGTTTCATTTTCTTTGTCGAAGTATGATAACCATGCCTCTTATTTCCCCGGAAATCAAGAACCTGACACTTCACCCTTCAGGGTTCCGTGATGCACAGAGAGTCAACTGAGGAAATTCACTAGTGCAAATGATGGTTATGTGAAGAACCCTTCACTCCAAAGGAAGAATATGGATTTATAATTTTTGTCTGTATACATTAAGTAGATGTACATATGTGTTATGTATCTGTAATAAAAATGAATATTTACTTTTTGCTTACAACGTGTGAGACATTGTCCGGAGTTCTTTACATGTATCAACTCATGTAACTCTTAGAACCATTCCACCAAGTAGTTACTACTATTTCCTTATTTTACAGATGAGGAAAAGGACTCCTCAGACAGAAGGTTAAGAAACATGTGCATAGTTATGCAAAGCCAGCGAGTGGCAGAGAGGCTGGGATTCGAGCCCAAGTTCTCTAGCTCTGGAATCCATGCTCGAATCCAGGATGCTATAAACATACATATTGGGGAGTGCTGAAATTTCCTGAAGTCATTAAACGTTCGTATAAAAGAAAGAGTGGGGGGGAAATGTCTGCAGTCTCGAAATTCAGAATAATGCTGTTAAAACTGAGCCAATTTATTATTAACATTGTTGATAAAAACGTGCTTTGAAGAGCCAATTTGCTGAACCGCTGAAATTTAAAACATTTAAATGCAAGCTGTATCACAGATATCTGGAGCCTCTGAATAGATGTTGGTTAGAGAAATTCTGCCTCTAGTAATCGTTAGCTTTTCTTATTTTATTTCCTCTTGAATGTAAGCCAAGTGTGTTATCACTATAGAAGTTATTAAAAATAAATTTCCATATTTGACATGTAGAGATATTATGTGTCTAAAGTATGGGTCAAGTGGAAATTTTTCAGTCCGACTTACAGGTTTCAAAAGGAATAGACAATATTTTTATGCTACCATGATTCTCTCAGAAAAGCACTTTGAAAGTGAATGTTTTGATATCATAAGCTGAAAGAACTTTCCATATGTATGGGCGATTTCCAACAGGAAGTAAGATTAACAATTCACATCCTGGCTTTGGTTTAAACTTGTATTTGGAATACTAATTATTTGGGGAAGAAGGTGAACCATACATTATTGACCCATAATGAATCTTAAAATGTCATATGTGTATTTTAGAGGTCTCTGAGGAAGTCAAGGTCACATGCAGCTACCTTGATAAGGGTGTTAGGAGCTTTTTGAAACTACCAATCTCATAGGCTATTTTTCTGCATTTAAGATGATCTAGTGTATATGAAACAGATTTCACTGTCCAACAATAAGAAATTAAGCAGAAGTAAAACTCAGTGCTGGTTACAGTAATTAACATGTGTCTGAAATATGTCTTTTTACCATATACTATTAGAGGTTGTATTTTCTTATGAATATATCTGAGTTTGGCTTATTTCTTCCTTGTCTTTTAAAAGACAGTATTATCAGAGAAAAGAAGACACTAAGGCTCATAAAACCCAAACTTTTCTTCCAGTTCATATTAAGGGAATAAATTTGTGTCACAAAGGAAAAGAGGACACTGCATTTAAATAATTATGTAGCAATCACTCTCATTTCCTCTGCTCCTCTTACTTCAGATACTCCACTCACTCAAACAAAACAAAACAAAACAAAACAAAACAAAAAAAAGCCTATCTGAAATCCTAAACCACAAAATAAAATACTAGAGGGTTCCAGGGCTGGAGAAAATAGTAAGGGGGCCCAGCAGTAAGGGTTGCCTATAGACTGTCTCCTCTTTCCTTTAATTCATAGCCTGAAAAAGCTCTGCAGTCCGGGAAGGAGCAAGGGATAGATTTGAGAGAGGCCGGTATTTCAGAGAGAAGCAAGGCCTGAGCTCTGTTTCTTTGTCACCTTCCACGGCGAGGAAATGATTTCTTGGCATTCTTTCTGGCCTGATTTTCTTACTCCATCCTTTAGGACTTCTCCACTGTTCCCAGGTTGATGCTGTGGTTTGGATTTTAAGTAGGGTTTTGGAAGAGGTGACTGGAATGTCTGAGGTAAGGAAAACAAAGGGATAGGAACAGCTACTTAATACTGCTTCCGTGATCCTCCCCTGGATGGTATCCCAAGCCCTTTGCCCTTTCCAAGTTGGGAAGAGGTCTCTTTGCTTACCACAATCCTCATGTGCCCTTTTCTGGGAATAGTTAAATTCACAATTTTGTGGACTAGAAAAGATTTCTGGCTCAGCCTTCTCCTTTATTATATTTCTGGTTGCACTGACTCAACTCTGTCATCGTGGTGAGAAAGCAGCCATGGACAATACGTTAACAAGTAAGTCTGGGGTGTATTCTTATAAAACTTTATTTACAAAACAGGTGGCAGACTGGACTTGGCCCAGGAGCCATAATTTCCTGACACCTGATATAAACAAAAGATAATTGCATTACCTTATGCTAGGTGCTTAACTGTGGTATTTACCCAGCACAAAAAGTTCATGGAGCACACAGCGGGTAAAGCTCAGCAAACTGACAGGGGATGGGGAGCATAGTCTGGGCTGATGGAATAAGGACCCATAAGAGAATCTAATATTGGCAGAGTGGCGGGTGGGCTGACGTGGTGGATTGCAGGGTGTGGCACTTGGAGGTGGGGGACGGACCCGCAACACCCTACAGGTTGCTGGCTTCATGGGCTCTGCTGAATTTAGACTTGATATTTTAAACATGGTGGGTTCTATTAAAAATGGGAACTAGGGGCACCTGGGTGGCTCAGTCGTTAGACGTCTGCCTTCGGCTCAGGTCGTGATTCCGGAGTCCTGGGATCGAGCCCCGCATCGGGCTCCCCGCTCCGCGGGAAGCCTACTTCTCCCTCTCCCACTCCCCCTGCTTGTGTTCCCTCTCTCACTGTGTCTCTCTCTGTCAAATAGATAAATAAAATCTTAAAAAAAATGGGATCTAGAGCAACTCAGAGACATGATCGATATGCATTTCAAAATACCATTTTGGCTCCAATGGCCAAAGGGAATTAAGAGGAAGTAGTGCTAACGAATGTAGATAAAGGTAGGACTGCTGGGAGCTTATGCGATAGCTGAGGCAGGAGAGATCAAGTGCTTGACATGGAACAGTACTGGCATAGTGAATGGGGTGAAAAGCAGGATCAACAAAGGCAGTGATGGATGCAGAAGAAAGGAAGACTTGAAATTTTGACTTAAGTATCATCAACCAAATGAGGTGGGAGGGCCAGAGCGGGCTGCCAACGTCTGAGATCTGTGAGGGCAAGCAGTGTTTAAGGGATGGATATGAGAGGAGAGAGTGCAGGAGATTGGGTGACTGCCCCTTCTCTTACCACACGGAATCATAGAACACAGATACACACACACACACACACACACACACATCCCAGAATCC